CCAAAACCAAAATTTGATTGCAGATTCGGGGTCCTCTCGCCGAGCGCAGAACGACCCCGGTTTCAAAAAAAAAAAAAAATCTGGGCGGTTTTTCGTCCTGCCCGGTTTACCCGGGCGGCGTCCTCACTCAGTTTTATTTTATATTTGGTAAAGAGTTTTGATGTGACCCTGAGGCAAGAGTCGCTCAGTTTATTTTTCTGCATATTTGGTTTTCTTTTTTTTGACTGGGAGTGCTGGGACCTTCCCTGGTCCTTGCATGGCCGGGCCGGCTGGGAAAACAAGGTGACCCGGGCGTCCCGGATGGTAGCCTAGGCTGTGACAGATTAGTTTTCTCTGGGGTATCGCTAGCTCTGTGCGACGTGGTGAGTCCTTATGCTTGGCAACACAAAAGTTCGCACTGGCACTCGACCATGGGGAACCTTGCACCTGATGCCTGTGGGCAACCTCGCACCTCATCAGGAATCTGTAGTAGAATTTGTGCCGCCAAAACGAACAAGCACTCTGTAAGGTCTAGCACAGTCATGCTGCTGTCTATACAACGGAATGGTGCTGTGTTTCTCTGCACTTTCTTCTGTTCACCTCGTGTTATCGCGTTTCGTTCTTCCCTCCCTCCCTTTTTCCTTCCTTTCTTTGCACCGTCTCTTTTCCCAGACGGGTTAGAAAGCAATTCATCGAGTTAATGCCAAAGCACAAGAACATTCTCTTCTGCACACAATGCGACTCAGAGACGAAGAGGAAGTGAAAATGGCGGAGAGGCTGGCAGGTAGAACACAAGGGGCCATCACCCATAGCCCAGAGTTGACAGTCTGCATGTCGGAGTGGTGAAATACTACACGGGGGCAGATCACCTATCGTATTGGGGACAGCGACTAAATGACGTCTCGAAGCGCTACAGCCTATAGGTGATACCGGCGAGATCCAGTTGAATGATTTTTTTACTGGAAGTCAGAGGACCCGTAGTACCTGCCTAACTCGAAAGAGACCTGGTAACAGGAAAGCACTGGCTACTTCGCCGTAGGGAAGGGGTCTAGGTATCTGCTTAGCCTGGTATGCACATTCACATGCACACGTTTGAAAAGTATCGGACTGAAGCAATCAAAACATTAAAAAAAAAAAGTAAATGTCCTTTTATCTTTTTATAAATTCAACAAATAGTGATGAACACTGTTGCGGGTCGAGGTGGCTGCATTATGGTTTGGGTACCGAGTACCAATACGGCAAACACTTCCTGATGGGCCAGGCGCCTAGGCTTCAAGAAAGAGTCTATGATAGGATGTATCAAGTGACAAGTAGATCGTGGAGCAGCCCTGCTGTATCTGAAGTATTGCACTGGCTGGATGCCTTGACATTGGGAAAGAAAGAATGCGACCGAAACGCCATTGGGGAGAGACTCTCCATAATCCATGGATTTTCTATCGGGAAGCCACAATAAAGTTGACTTAAGTGACCTGAAACATTGGAGCAGCTAAATGAAAGCACGTCAAGTTATCAACCAAGAACATAAACAATTGATGAGTAGTGAGGCTAGTAGATGAGAGTGATAATTTGTTTTCTAAAAGAGAGATTAGCTCACTGTACTTCCAAGTTCGTTGACTGTCCTTCGGTGTTTTCTTTGGTTATGTAAGTGATGGACACAGACAGGAAGCGAAGATGAAGCCAACCTCGACAGTTGCACTTTTTGGACAAGATCTGGCTGTAATTACGGCCAGATACGCACAAAAGTCCTAGTTTGAGTATGCCTTAATTGATGGAATGGAATTAAGAACAGCCAATCATGATGGTGCAAACTTTTGGACCATTTATCGATGTGTGTGCATCATCCTTGTGCCCGGCCCTTCTTCTGATCATTCCAATTTTAACGGATGTCCCGAAGGACATGACAGTACTGACTTGAAAGCTTGTTGCTTCCATTTTTATGTGGTGACAGATTTGGTGGAACAGGACTAGGGCTTGCAATTTGTCGTGGTTTGGTCCAATCGATGGGGGGAGAAGTATGGGTGTGGAGCGAGCCAGGTGCCGGAAGCACTTTCGGTTTCATTGTTGGGCTACTGCCTGCAGATGACCCCCAGAAACTGCTGAAGAAAGATGAAAATTCAGCTCAAGTCCGTCCGGCATACTTGGAACCATCAACCAGTGAAAAGCCGCCACTCAAAATCTTGGTTGCAGAGGACAACATCGTGAACCAAACACTGATAAGGAAGATGCTGAAGCACTTTGGCCACGAGGTGTGTTTTCTTTTCTTTTTCTTTTCCTTTTTTTTTCTTTTTTTTTCTTTTTTTCCTTTTTTCCTTTTTTTCTTTTTTTCTTTTTTTTTTTACAACACAAGCCCCCTTCTATTCTGGGGGGCAACAGTCTGGTTACTTATCACCGGCAAGCATATTTGTGCGTCCAAGGAAGGGGGGAGATCAGATTAGAGAAGGGGAACAGTCTAACCCTTGTGGCACTAGTCGCCTAGCAAGGGTGGAGCTGCAAAAGGGCCCCCACCCCGCCAAACCATGGTCTTTCTCCGGGGGTCACCCTGCTGGCCGGGAGGCTTACTAGCAGCACCCAGACACGCAGCAGATGGCCCTCAGAGGAGCGGGGTGCGGGTAGGGGCCTCCCCTGCAGTTCCTTAGACCGCCTATCAAAACCCGCATGTTACTATGTCATCGCTTTCCAACTTTGTCTACCTTTATCGAGCTCTCATTTTTTGCATCTTGTCCTGTTTGGACTGCCTTAACAGCACGCAAACCCCCTCTTGTCCCTCAAAGCCTTTATCTTGGCTAGCCCCATGTCGCTTACGATCACTTGCTATCTCTGTGTCCCTTGCTCCCTGAAGCCTACGTCAACAATTCCACGTATTCGTGTACTGTCTTCGGGGACTCAACATCAGTGTCCATCCTAAAAGTAGTATTTACTGTATTTGTGATCATCCCAGCGCCTTATTCCCCACAATATGTTTTAATGTTCCTATACTCTTTTTAGTGTGACGAGGTGTGTTTTCCCCAACCCCTTTTCAACTTTATTTCATTAGTTGGACTGTGTGGTAAGAGGAGTGGCAATAGGACGGACTGCTGGAGTGACAGTAGGAGTCGCTGTAGAAGTGACAGGAGGAGTAGGAATTGCACTACTGTCTTTTCACCCAAATACGTCCAGTCATTATCCCTGTACTCGGGCCAACTTTCAGTCCAGATGCAGCGATAATGACCGGGCCTTCTATTCGGGTGAAGAAGGTAGTGCCAGCTGCAGCAACCGGTTGCTGTGCCAGTCGTTGTGGTGAGAGCTATGGTGGCAGTAGGATTCACTGTCGCAGTGACAGTAGGAGTAGGAATTGCACTGCCGTCTTTTCACCCGAATTAAATGCCCAGTCATTATCCCTGTACTCGGGGCAACTTTCAGTCCAGATGCAGCGATAATGACCGGGCATTCTATTCGGGTGAAGAAGGTAGTGCCAGCAGCAGCAAACGGTTGCTGTGCCAGTCTTTGTGGTGGGACCTGTGGTGGGACCTGTGGTGGTTTCCGTGGGAGCGAGATCAGTCTCAACCAGTATTGCAGTGACAGGTCTGGCCAGAAGGTGTGTTTTCCTCACCCCCCGTTCAAATTTTTCTACCATTAGTTGGACTGCGGGGCAAGAGGGGTGGAAGTACAAGTGGCAGGAGTTGTGGTAGGAGTTGTGGTAGGAGTTGTGGTAGGAGTTGTGGTAGGAGTTGTGGTAGGAGTTGTGGTAGGAGTGACTGCTGCAGTGGCACAGTAGGGGCCGCGGTAGGAGTGACAGTACAAGTGGGAATTGCAATAGTGCCAGCAGAAGCAATTGGTTGCAGGTCGATGGTGGGAGCTGTGGTGGTTGTTGTTGGAGTGACATCAGTGTTGAGCGTCACTGGAGTGACGGTAGGAGTGGGCGTTGCACTACTGTCTTCACCTGAATCGAATGCCCAGTCTTTATAGCCGTATTTGGGGGAACATTATGTCTAGATACATAAATAATGACGTGGCGTTCTATTTGGTCGACGGCGGTAGTGCCAGAAGAAGCATGTTTTGCCAGTTGTCATTGTGGGAGTTGTGGTGGTAACTGTTCGAGTGAGACCGGTATTGCAGTGATAGGAGAGGGCATTGCACTAGCACCAGCAGAAGCAAACGGCTGTTATGTCAGTTGTGATGGTGGAAGCTGTTGTGGTGGCTGTTGGAATGAGGCCAGTATTGCTGGTATTTGGAGAGGAAGTAGCAGGCCAAAGCAGTGACAGGAATGTCTGTCGCAGTAGCTTGAACCTCTGCATTCATTGGAGCTGCAATTGCAGTGGCAAGAGCAGCAGGAGTTCCAGTGACCGCAGTAAAAACACACTGGAAATCACTGCCATTACTAGTGGTACTCTGATCAAAACGCAGTGATTATAAAGGTGATTGCGATTTCCGCTGTGCGTGCCACTTCAAGGGAACCATGGTATTGCTGTGAAAGTTGGCAAGCACAGTGGACTGATTATCATGATAAAAATGGCAGTTACAGCTGCAGTAGTTGGAGCAGGATTGGTGGCTTGATAGGTGTTTGCAGTCGAGTATTAGCAGCAGGCGTGCAGCAACAAGAAGATTGATTTGTGCATCGACAGTCAGAGAGGCAGTGGTAGCAGGACTAATAGCCACAGTGACAGAAGAAGAACCCACCGTAGTAATGTGAGCGAGAGTACGAGCAGTAGGAGTGGCACAGAAGGAGCAATAGCTGAAGTGTTGTGGAAGTAAGAGGAAGACACTAGAGTTTCAGGGACAGCGATGGAAGTACGGTTTTCCCTCGAATAGAACACGTGGTTGTTATCTTTGTATCTAGATAATGACGTTAAGTTGTGCTCTATTTGGCAGAATACGGTAGTGAAAGAAGACGAAGCAGCCACAACAATGTGAGCAAGAGGACCAGCAGTAGCTGCAGGAAGTCGAGTAGTCAGCAGTAGCAGCAGGGAGTGGAGGAGTAGCTGTGGTTGTAGAATCTCCTGTTGCTGGAGCAGGAGTAGAAATAGCAGCAGTACCAGATGCTGTAACAGCCAAAAAGAAGAATAGTAAGAGAATATAAGAGAGCCTCTTAGTACAAAGGCAGAAGAACCAAATTTAAGAAAACTAAGAGGGAAGAGAACAAAAGAGAGGTGTGTACCTTTGTATTACAGAAGAGGGAGCAGTGATGAGGAGTGTATGCTATACAGGATAGGGGAGGGCATAGACCTGAGCTTTAGAATGAAGATTCCAAAGGAGGGTTGTGAGCAGTAGACTGTCTTCTGTATGTCTTAAATTTGTCACAGTCTTTTTGCTATTCTCTGCCTGCGCTGCTGGCAGCCCATGCACAGACCAGCACGCGCATCCTGGCTCCTTGTCCATTTTAGGTATCGTCTGTTCATTTCCTTTACCCTGGGAGTCGAAAAGCTATTACAATTCAGAACACATCCAATTCTTCCTTTCACCTACACGGAAGGATCTCTCACCAGCCTCGACTGCTCCATGTCAGTTAGCCCGAGCCTCTGAGATCCTCTCAGCTGTAGCTTGTGCTGAACTGTCCGATTGTTGTGCACACCCACAAGTATAGAAGTACAGGAACTGAACCGTGCGATGAGACTGCTTCAGACTCTGGTGGATGTGATTTGTCCCCTTTTTTATTGTGGTGCCTGGTCTTCTCTATCCTGCCAATTCTTTCTCCGCAACTGCCGGTTGTGTCTCTCGTCATCAGTAGGAACCATTGACTCTCCACCGTGTGTCCAATATCCGTGCTCCATGCAGTATGCCAATTCTTCCATTTCATCCTGTCATCAACAATGTTTACTGTTCTGCCCTGGAGCAGGCAGTCCCTGTGGAAAGCTCGCTTCTTGAACCTCTCTGGTTTGAGCTTCCTAGCACTCCATTTGCACCGGATTTCAGTTGCCACCATTCTGATCAACATCCAAGCTTCCTCTTTCGACATGAATCCTTCTCAATGGTCTGAGCACAAATGGTCCAAAGTGACAGTTTCCTGAGTGGGTGGAACCGGTTCAGCTTGCTGCCCTTCAAGGAGTTGCGTAGGCTGAGAAATAGAAGGACAGAGCTCAGGGAGACAACAGGCGGGGGGACAAACAACCTTGTTCTAGGCTGCTGCAGGGTAAGTTAGCAGGAAGTGAATAATTTTCAGGTCGGTTGTTACTGCACATTGTGCATATATCAGTGCTGAGGGGATGTGAGAGTTTCCTCTTTGTGTGTAACCATTGATTGACTTGTAGGGCGGCGTAGGCAAACAGCAGTTTTGTCCATGCAGCTGTTGACTGTGTTTTGAAGCAAGGGCCTGGGGCCTAAGTATCTTAGGAAAACACAGCTGCTGTTTTCACCCGAATACAACATACTGTCATTATAGCTGTATTTGGTGCAACTTTGGGTCTAGGTACAGCAATAATGACCGTATGTTGTATTCGGGTGAAGACGGCATTGGTTTGATCGTGAGATACTTGGCAATGGGATCTTGATCGTACAATCATGATCCAGATTTAGAATGTGGTTCAGTGTTCTCATGATTTCTGGTTAGGATCATCACTTTGTGGCCAAGTTCGTAACAGAGCTTGACATCATGTTCCAAAATCAGGATGGAGTCCGATGGACTCCAAAAACAAAAAACAAAAATGGGATGGATTTTTTGTGCGCTCTATGGATCCGCATCCATTCTTTGGGGTCAAAGGGATCACATTCAAGTTCAGCATGCTGAGGTTAGGATTGGAAATCGCCCAGGGCTTGGTAGTGGACAGTGGACACTCGTACTTTCCTCAATAGGAAGGATTCAAGGGTTCCTAATTCTATTGAGGATCTCTAGCACCCTTACGGTTGGAGATGAGAAAGGAAATGATCCTAGCCTTTCAAAGTGGTATGCTCTAGGTGGGTTGGGTTGCGTGATGAACCACTCCCAGTCCCGTTGTTTCCACGTGTACTCTTTGCAAAATAGTTCTATCCAGGCCTGTGGGATGCTTTTCTGTATGATAGCCGGATTCTGAGCTAAGTGATGGCACCCTTTTAACGGTATCCGCATCTCCTGCGCTTTTGCCCACCACTTGAGCTCATTTTACCACAGATATTGTACCTTCCATGCCCCCTTTTCTACCCATGAGACCATCTGCTGTCATTTGAGGTCAGCGTCCACAGCTAGCCATTGGCGTCATCGAAACCATCATTATTTAAGGTCCAGGGGTTACAGAAAAGCAGTTGCCTGAGTGCTTCCTCTGTGCTGCGTGGTTGGCCATGCTCGTTGGGAAGTAATTTGTGCCAGGCCTTTGACTGAAGCCCACTATGGCATAGATTGAAGGGGGGAGGCGGATTAGGTGTCTGCAGCTGCTCCGTTTGAAAAGGAAAAAAAGAGAGTTAAAAAAACAGGACTTTAGAGCCCTGGCTCCATATCCATTATGGGGTGTGTCAATCCTGCAAGGAAGATGAGCATTAGCGAACTCCAGCAATCAAACAGCATCATACATATGAGTCCAGATAGTCTTGACCTCGAACCAACAGCAGAAATGCATCACGAGATTCACCAAATAAGAACACACCAATAGTTCGTAATTGACAATGCTGAAATAGTCTCTCATCATCATCAACGAAGAACAAGAGTTGATATCCTATTGGCGCTCGGCGCCCAGACTACATGTGGCGGATCCTATCTAGCCTAATACTACAATGCCGATGTTGACATCAACAGCTTCCTGAAGTACGAGCATACAGCGGCAATGCCGCACGCTTCCAGCACCAGGTATGTCTCTCGCAACACTCACAACCCCGATCCACACCACGCAGATGCCACTAGCACCCAAGGACCACCCTGCGCCACACCCAGCTTACAGCGGAGCAGCTCGGCTATGGCTGCCCGCTCCTTCCTGCTCGCCCGTGAGAGCGTGAGTGCCAGCCAGCCAGCAAACAGCGCAGCATGCAGCCAGCACCCGAATGCCGAATGAGGAGGCAGGGCCTTCCCTATATCGAAGTGGCCTGCCTGCGTCCAGTCCAGGAAGCTTCCAGTAGGCCCCGGTAGGCACAGGCCCAGACCTCACACGCAGGCCCAGGGCCTGATGGTTGCATGTGCCCAACTGCCCCTTTGGCCTGCTCACGACCTTTCCCACGCGTCTGGCCCAGGTCACCATTCAGATACATTTGCAAAATATGGCCTGGGCCTGGGCGCCTTCAACCAACTGGCGCAGCGCAACTGTCTGAATTTCACCAGTTGCRGGRTACCCTGAAAATCGAGGCCCTGAGGGCCTGTCGCGCCTGCCTTCACTTAGGGCGGCCGACATGTTGCAAAAAGGGCCCCGAAGGGGCTGAGCGGGCGTAGCCTCGCAATCCGGTTCCTATTCCACCGGCAAGGCAGAAATATAACAAGAACACCCTCACGCTTCCTTCCGTTTGGCCGAAGGAACCCTGACCAGCATTGCTTGCTCCAGATGCCTGGAGGATTGACAGTCAGCTTGCCTTTCCTCTATCTTTCCTCTCAGGTTATTTTCTCTTCTCTTTAGGAAAGGGCAACGGCCTTGAGATATCATCATCAAACTGACCAGTCCCAGGTAATTCAGAACTATAGCATGTCACTCATCTGCTTCCACTGGAGTTCGAACTCAGGTCTGTATTTCATCAGTTCAGGGATGCCAAATTTAACGCGAAACTTGGAAAGGATTAGGAGCTGTGAAAGCCAACAGCCCCTGAACCTGTCAGGGATGCCCTGCTGGATCTCTGATGTTGCAGGTTGTTGTTGACTGCTGCTTTACTGGTCTCCTCCTCTCTGCCATGCCGTCGAATTTATGTGGCCTGTATTTGGGCCTGCCGCTCTGCAGATTGGCACCTCTGCTTTCTAAGCCCCACTTCTGAATTGTGTCAGTCTTTCCACCGTATACAGGAGCCATTTATGTCCGCTACCTTGCCTCCCACCAGCCATACCCTTGCAAATTTAGCTTTGATTTTCTGCTGCAGGTCCAGATCGTCTGGCATAGACTGCTTTGTTTTCTGCCACTTGCGTACGATCTCAGCCTGAACCAACGACCTTGTAGCCCCGCCCAAACACTCTCCCTTGGAGTGGAGAGGCCTTCAAGAGTTCTGTCGCATGTTTCCTTCCATGTAGACCAAAGTGTAACCTTTCTGATCATGCCGAGCCAGAACCTCTCCATCTTTCCGAAGTGGGCTGGGATGTTAGTCCATAGGGAAAAGGGATTCCCAAAGGTCGAATGCTCCTTTTGGTTATTACCTCTCCTGGTAGTCCAATCCTTGGCCATTGCCCAGAAGGTCATGTCCATGTTACAAGGGGTATGGACTGGTGCTAGTTGTCTTATGATGTCAAGAGTCAGCCTGACCCAAGGCTGATGGTGTCTCAATAAAAACTTCATGACCTGGCTTCTTGTTCTGGATCGATCAGCCGAACACCATCTTGTGGTTTTCTGGTTATGTAAGGCCGGGCCACTTTGTTAATGCAGGTCAGTCTATTGGGGTCTTCTGTTCATAGGTAATATATTTATATACGACTCGGGCTTTGAGTGTCATCAGGTTGTTGTCCAGTGTAGACCAGATGGAAGCCAGATATCGAAGTGGGGAGTAAAGATGACGACCACCATCTTGTGGTTTTCTGGTTATGTAAGGCCAGGCTACTTTGTTGATGCAGGTCAGTGACCGTCAGTCTATGAGGGTCTTCTGTCCATAGATAATATATTGGTATCTGACTTGCGCTTTTATTGTCGTCAGGTTGTTGTCCTGTGGATACCTGATAAAAGCCAGATACGGATTTTGGAGTATACGGACATGTTGATTGCTCTGCCCACCGTCTTCATGCGAATAGAACGCCCAGTCACTCTAGCCGTATTTGGGGCAACTTTCAGTCCAGGTGCAGCCATAATGACCAGGCCTTCTATTCGGGTGAAAGGAGGCTTCTGCCTTCTTACACGGTGTCAAGTGAAATATAGCTTTAACGATCAGACGGTGGCCCATGCCTGGCCAACTACCGTCTTTATTGACTGTAATACCCTATCCACCAGCTTTTCGTTTTGGTCCAGTTAAACCACCAGGACATTTCCCAGCTATTTTCCTTCGGGTTCAGCCTACCAGATCTGTTTGGCTGGCACCACCAGCTAAAACGGAAAATTTTGCACTCTGCCGGCTGCTCAAATACGGCTCGGGAAAACAACGCTTAGGAGTACTGCTCGTATTAGGACTATCAGGTCTTCAGCGAACATTAGCACTGTGGGAAGTGAGAAGTTATGTAGAGCATTGCTCTTTGAGAGTGCAGGCTAGTGGGTACATGGCTCTCTTGTAAGAAGGAAGCTATTGGCTCCTTTATGAACAAGAATATGGGGGGAGCCAGGGGAAAACCTTTACATCCAGACGGTGTGGTTGAATTATTGACTAAGCTCCTGAGAGTACCTTTTAGGACTCTGACCCGCTTCCTGAAAACTGGGCTCGCCCCCATCTTTTCCATGCAGCTGTGGAGAAAATCTGACTGGACCTGATCGTAGGCTTTCCCAAAATGGAAAACTATGATTGCAGCCTGCAAGCGGCGCTCTGAAATATACTTAGCAGCCTTATTCAGGGTCTTCACGTTATTAATAACTTGTTATCGAGGATGTAGGACCAGGGATGAAACTGGCCTCGTCGATGTGAAAACAGTTCTCTGTCAAATTCGGTTTGCTAATGCCTTGCCAGAATCTTTTGTAGTGTCGTTAGCAGGGAAATTGGTCTGTCGTTTCTTAACTCGCCTTATCCCCTTCGTTGGGTACTAGGGAGACCACACCAGTGCTCATGAAGTCCCAAAGGCCGCCTTTCTCCATGCCATCTGATTTGTTTTATTCCCAAAATCACAATTTGCAACTGAACTCAGGGTCCTTCGGAAAAGAAAAGAAAAGAAAAAAAGAGAATTTGCTGCTGGTCTATTCTACGTACAACCCTTGCTCAGTGGGGTAAAATGATGAGCATCTGATATGTGTGGGCCTGCAAAGCGCTGCCTCAGGCTCCATTTGAGGTTCATGCAAAGTTGCTGTATGTTTTTGAAATTGTCCCTGTGCATTTAGTGTCCAGTATAAAGCGGTTCATTGCCTTTGCAAAAGCAGTTTTCACGCAAACAACAGTACTACCTTTTGAAATTGTCCCTGTGCATTTAGTGTCCACTGTCCAGTATAAAGCCCCAATTACGAAGGTACTTCTGTTGTTTGCGTGAAAACTGCTTCAGATGAATCACATCCAGACAAAGATTTTAGGAATGCTTTTGTGCAGTGGTTTGCACTTACTCCAGCATCCAAAACATGGGGATTACTTGGTGTTTACTGGTCTGGGGCGGATTGGTAGTCTGTTTTTCCCGTGCAATCCACAAGGCATAACAGGCTTGTTTGTTCTATGTAAGTTAGCGATTCAATGCATGCCAGCAAAGGTTGTCGGAAGAAGCCCAGTATCACTTCGTAAGTTTGTACAAATGAAGTACATGCACTGTGTCCAATGGGCTCTGCATTGGTGCGGTGGCGAGCTAGCAACCACTTGACATGGTCTGGCACAATTTTACTGATTGTCTAGGAGTTGTGTGGCACCCTGCATGCAGGCAAAGATTGTCGGGAACGGCCAGCTTGCAGTCGACGAGGTCAAGCGACCAGATGCAAGGTATGACATTGTGCTCATGGACCTGCAGATGCCAGTGCTTGACGGTCTTTCGGCGACAATGGCCATTCGGCGACTTGACAGCCCTGCATCAAAAATCCCTATATATGCCCTCACTGCGGATATATTCACCAAGACCAAAGGGAAACTGGAAGACATGGGTCTGGACGGGTACCTTACAAAGCCGATCAATTGGCAGAGTATGTCGGAAACTCTCCGGAAGGTAGCAGAGCAGCAACAAAGCACTTCATCGGTAGCATCATCCGAGAACCCCACATCCACTCAGGGACAGCAGTCTTTTTCTGACTCTGTGCAAGAGTCATTAATGAAGTTGGGCGAACCTAATGCATCAAAGTCTCTGCTATCATCTGCCTTGTCATTGGTATCCTTACCAGTTGAAGTGGCTTCAGTGCGGCTGTCAGCACCAGCGTCTTCGTGTTCAATGTCACAATGCTCTTTACCAGTGCCTCCGAGCAACGGTGAGGCTGTGGCGGTTTTAGTGGTACCACCCTCAGGGCCAACAATGGTTTCACCACACTCCCGAGACACGTCTTCCAGCAGTGATGATGCATCGCTGCAACTAAGTTGTGGCAATTCCGGGATGCAACTTCAGTCTTCGGTATCTGAAGTGCTCTCAACGCCAGCAACGCGAGCTTCAGGGGCACCATCCTCAGGACCGAAAATGGTTTCACCACACTCCCTAGCCATGTCTTCCTGCAGTGACGATGCAGCTCAGCAGCCAAGTCGTGGTGACTCGGCAGTCCGTCTTGAATCGTCAGTATCTCAAGTGGTCTCCATGCCAACTTCAGGGTCGCTACCAGTTCCAGCACCGCTCTTGTCAGTGTCGCAAGTGATAGCATCATCACCCAGTGGATTAGCTTCAATGTCGATGTCAATTTCAGCATCAACATCATTCCCACCATCTTCCTCCCCAATGCCTCTGAGCAGTGAATCGGCACTGGTGTCATCACACTCCTTAGCCTGTTCTTGTGGTAGTAATGATGCAGCACTGCAGCCAAGGGAGGGAAATTCAGCAGTGGATTTTGAATCATCGGTATGTGAACCAGTCGCAATGGCAGAGATGCTAGCTTCAGGCTCGTCATCCTTTTTGTTAGACGGTCCCTTGCCCATGTCAGCAGGTGGTAAAGGGACAGCAGATGCTGTGGCACTTCAACCAGGTTCAATGTCCACGTCAACTTCAGCATCAGTATTATACCCACCAATGCCACCGTGCTCCTTCCCCGAGCCTTTGAGCAGCGATTCAACAGTGGTTTCATCACACTCCTTAGCCAGTTCTTGTGGTAGTAATGATGCAGCACTGCAGCCACGGGAGGGCAATTCAGCAGTGGATTTCGAATCGTCGGTATGTGAACCAGTCTCCATGGCAGAGACGCTAGCTTCAGGCTTGTCATCCTTTTTGTTAATGGCAGCAGGTGGTTATGGGACAGCAGCTGGCGTGGCACTTCAACCAGGTTCAATGTCTGCTTCAACTTCAGCATCAGTAGTATACCCACCATGCTCCCTCCCAATGCCTCTGAGCAGCGAATCAGCAGTGGTTTCATCACATTCCTTTGCCAGTTCGTGTGGTAGTAATGATGCGGCACTACAGCCAAGAGGTGGCAATTCAGCAGTGGATTTTGAATCATCCGTATCTGACCCAATCTTGATGCCAGACACGCTAGCTTCAGGCTCGTCATCCATATTGTTAGAGGGTGCCTTGCCCATGTCAGCAGGTGGTCTTTCGACAGCAGATGGTGTAACACTTGCACCTTGTTCATTGTCAGCTCCAGCCCAATGGATGGTATCTTCACAACTATCCTCATCCCCAAACATCCAGAGATCCTTGCCAGATACTGCACTGCCATCGGCCTCGGGAATACCGTCTCCACTCTCTGCAGAAGATCTGCCGGCAGTTGAAATATCATCACCTTCTTTGCCGTCATCATCACTGGAATTGCCAATGGGAACACCACAGACACCGGTGTTAGGGAAGCCAGCAGCTGGTGGTGTTAAAGTGGGGCAGCATCCAAGGCCATTATCAGTGCCATCAGTACCTCCAGATGCTGTTGCATTCTTGCCGCAGTCAGCACTACTATCAGCACAAGAATTAGGGAAGGCGCCACAACTATTATCAAGCATGGCGAAATCATCGACGTCTTCTGTACCCTCATCATCGGCATGGACAACAATAGTAGTTCTGCCATTCTCATCGCCATCACCAGCAGTGCTGTCATCACAACCCTCCTCTGATGCTTCTCTCAACAGCTGTGGACTAGGTGTGGAGCCAGGATCATCAGGAGAAAGGGAAGAACAGACCCAAACAGGGGATGACAGCCTGCAACCGCACACGGTATCACCACTGTCACCGTATTTGCTGCCATTACCATCATTTTTGTCCCCAAGCGGTGCTTTCACGGAGATCCAATCAGGATCCCCACCATTGGCAGATGCACAACGGTCAGAAGAAGTGTTGGCAAGCATGATGATACCGTTGTCGTCATTGGTCTCACCCATAGTTTCACCAACGTCATCACTTACATCATTGCAGCAAACCTCCCATCCTCTCCTTACTTCTGGCGTGGCTGCGCATCCGGGATCAATAGGACAAGAAATGAGGGTGACGTCAATGTTAAGGAAGCCAGTGACAGTAGGTGATAGCTTGGCGGCTGAATCAGGGTCAGTACAGTCATCCTTGCCACTATCTGTGCCTGCAGCATCACCAGGCGGTACATGGAAACAATCAAATGTTGGTCACCCAGTGTGCCCGGCATCACTGCCAGAGTCAGCATTGGCCCAAGAACTGATGGCATCAATGTTGAACCCAGGTGGATCTGCATTTACATCATTCTCGCTGTTGCCGATAGTGCCAACACGATCACCATCAATGGTAACATCATCAGTGGTCTCATCAACTATTTCTCCATTGTCATCGCCAACCGTGATGTCTTCGCTTGAATCATTGCAGCAAACCTCCCGTCCTCTCCATACTTCTGGTGTGGCTGCGCAGCCAGGATCAATAGGACAAGAAATGAGGGTGACGTCAATGTCAAGGAAGCCAGTGACAGTAGATGATGGCTTGGGGGCTGAATCAAGGTCAGTGCGGTCATCCATGCCACTATCTGTGCCTTCAGCATCACCAGGTGGTACATGGAAAAAATCAAATGTTGGTCGCACAGTGTGCCCACCATCACTGCCGGAGTCATCATTGGCCCAAGAACTGATGGCATCTATGTTGAACCCAGGTGGATCTGCATTTTCATCATTCTCGCCATTGCTGATAGTGCCTAGACGATCATCATCCACGGTGACATCGCCGATGGTCTCGTCAACGATTTCAACATTGTCATCGCCAACCGTGACACCTTCGCTTGAATCATTGCAGCAAACCTCCCATCCTCTCCATACTTCAGTCGGGGCTGCGCAGCTGGGATCAGTGGGACAAGAAATGAGGGTGACGTCAATGTCAAGGAAGCCAGTGACAGTAGATGATGGCTTGGGGGCTGAATCAGGGTCAGTACGGTCATCCTTGCCGCTATCTGTGCCTGCAGCATCACCAGGTGGTACATGGAAAAAATCAAATGTTGGTCGCACAGTGTGCCCGACATCCCTGCCGGAGTCATCATTGGCCCAAGAACTGATGGCATCTATGTTGAACCCAGGTGGATCTGCATTTTCATCATTCTCGCCATTGCCGATAATGCCAACACGATCATCATCCATGGTGACATCGTCGGCGGTCTCGCCAACTATTTCATCATTGTCGTCGCCAATCGTGACGCCTTCACTGGAATCATTGCAGCAAACCTCCCATCCTCTCCATACTTCAGGCGGGGCTGCGCAGCTGGGATCAATGGGACAAGAAATGAGTGTGGCGTCAATGTCAAGGAAGCCACTGACATTAGATGATGGCTTCGGGGCTGAATCAAGGTCAGTACGGTCATCCTTGCCAGTATCTGTGCCTTCAGCATCACCAGGTGGTGCATGGAAAAAATCAAATGTTGGTCGCACAGCGTGCCCGCCATCACTGCCGGAGTCATCATTGGCCCAAGAACTGATGGCATCTATGTTGAAGCCAGGTGGATCTGCATTTACATCATTCTCGCCGTTGCCGATAGTGCTAACACGATCATCATCGATGGTAACATCATCAGTGGTCTCGCCAACTATTTCACCATTGCCATCGCCAACCGTTACGCCTTCGCTTGAATCATCGCAGCAAACCTCCCATCCTCTCCATACTTCGGGCGGGGCTGTGCAGTTGGGATCAAGGGGACAAGAAATGAGGGTGACGTCTATGTCAAGGAAGCCAGTGACAGTAGGTGATGGCTTGGGGGCTGAATCAGGGTCAGTACGGTCATCCTTGCCGCTATCTGTGCCTGCAGCATCACCAGGTGGTACATGGAAAAAATCAACTGTTGGTCGCTCAGTGTGCCCGCCGCCACTGCCGGAGTCATCATTGGCCCAAGAACTGATGGCATCTATGTTGAAGCCAGGTGGATCTGCATTTACGTCTTCCAGCCATTGCCGATAGTGCCAACACGATCATCATCCACGGTGACATTGTCAGCGGTGTCGCCAACTATTCCACCATTGTCGTTGCCAACGGTGACGTCTTCGCTTCAATCATTACAGCAAACCTCCCATCCTCTCTATACTTTGGGAGGGGCTGCGCAGCGGGGATCATTAGGACAAGAAATGAGGGTGACGTCAATGTCGAGGAAGCGAGTGAGAGTTGGTGATGGTTTGGGGCCTCAATCAGGATCAGTGCAGTCATCCTCGCCGCTATCTATGCCTTCAGCATCACCAGGTGGTACATGGAAAAAATCAAATGTTGGTCGCTCAGTGTGCCCGCCACCACTGCCGGAGTCATCATTGGCCCAAGAACTGATGGCATCTATGTTGAAGCCAGGCGGATCTGCATTTACGTCATTCTCGCCATTGCCGATAGTGCCAACACGATCATCATCCACGGTGACATCGTCAGCTGTCTTGCCAACTATTTCACCATTGTCATGGCCAACTGTGACGCCTTCGCTTGAATCATTACAGCAAACCTCCCTTCCTCTTCATACTTCGGGCTTGGCTGTGCGTTCGGAATCATTAGGACAAGAAATGAGGGTGACGTCAATGTCGGGGAAGCCAGTGAGAGTTGGTGATGGCTTGGGGGCTCAATCAGGGTCAGTGCAGTCATCCTTGCCACACTGTCTACCTTCACAATCACCAGGTGGTACATGGAGAAAATCAAATGTTGGTCAATCATTCTGCCCGCCATCTCTGCCAGAGTCGACATTGGCCGAAGATCTGATGGCATCTATGCTGAACCCAGGTGGATCTGCATTTACATCATTCCCCCCATTGCCGATAGTGGCAACACGATCACCATCCACGGTAACATTGTCAGTGGTCTCGCCAACTGTTTCACCATTGTCATCACGAACCGTGACGCCTTCACTTGAGTCATTACAGCAAACCTCCCTTCCTCTTCATACTCCTGTCTTTGCTGGGCATCCAGGATCATTAGGAGAAGAAAGGGAGGTGATGTCAATATCAAGGAAGCCAGTGGCAGTTGGTGATGGCTTGAGGGCTCCATCACAGTCTCGGCAGTCATCCTTGCCAGTATCTGACCCTTCAGTGGTACCAGATGGTACATCGAGGGAAGCAAAAGTTGGTCACTCACTGTGCCCGCCGCCGCTGCCGCCGGAGTCCACGTTGGCCCAAGAGCTGATGGGATCTATGCTGAACCCAGGAGGATCCGCATTTACGTCATTCTCCTCATTGCCGATTATGCCGAGGCAGTCGTCACCCTCGGTAACATTGTCAGTGGTATCGCTACCATGTGCACTGTCACAACCCTCCCTCCTGCCATCTCCCATCACTTCAGGCTTGCAGGCGCAGCCGAGATCATTACGAACCGAAAAGAGGCAGACACCGATGTTGAGGAACCCGACAGCAGGCGGTCATGGCTCGGGGCTCCAGTCAAGGCCAGCTGCAGCAGCCCATTTCACAGCAATATCGCGAGGTGGTGCTTGCTCAGTCCTCCAGCCAGACTTACAATCATTCCCAGAGCCATCACCAGAGCCCGAAGTACTACCAACAATGGTGATACCACCTTCGCCTCTCGTGTCATCATGGCCATCATCGTCATCATCGTCATCATCGCCATCATTGTTACCATCGCAACCTCTACCACAACCATGTTCGCCCCTCACGTCATCGTCACCCTCATCGTTACCATCACAATCACTACCACCACAACCATCATCATCACCAGCAGCAGCGGCATCAGCATCAGGATTGCTGATGATGGCATCAGCATCATCTGGGGGACCACTGTCAACATCGTCTTCAGCATCGGGAACGTCATCAGCATAACCATTCTCGGTATATTGAACTATATTCATCATTAGAATTGTCATTCCAACACTCTCATTGTATATGGATACTTGGCTTGGCTGCACTGTTAGGACTGTCAGAAGCAGAAACAAGGTTTGCATCAATGTTGACAAAGCCATTGGGAGGTGCTAACCCCGATCGGAATCGGGGTCATCATTGTTGTTTTCTCATCCTCGTTCTCCGTGCCATAGTGTCTCCAGGTTACGCTGGGTCCGTACCATCACCAGCAGGATTCACTATATGCGCATTAGCATCAACTCTGCAGTCCCAGTGATTGTTGCAGTCATGCTTCCTCGACTGTCCCGAAGTAAATTTTGAACAATTTGTCTGTTGTTATGAGCTTTCTTGTTTTGTGAAGGGTTGAAGAGGCAAATGCTCGAAGGTCCACCAGTGGCTAGGAGCAGACGAATTTTCAGTGGCCTCGTGAGTGCCGTTCATCTTCAATTAGTGCGCACTTTACTGCTGCCAGAAACAGCATCAGTATGATTGCCGACATAAGGATAAGCATCAGCAAGGAAGAACATAAGCCATTGTCAGGCTTAGTCTTCTGTGGTAACACCGGTGGGTGGTTCCTAAGCCCCAAGTGCTTCAGATCGGGCGCGGCTTGATATCTGCCATTCGCATCATCTTTCCAGACGTTCAAGTCGAGGCTGGAAACAGCATCAAGCACATTGTCATGCGTGGTGAGGACCAGGAGGGTTGACGTAATGACATTCCCAGAAACGATCAAAGGTCTGTGGCGTCATGCAGTCTTTGTTTCTTGCTGATGTTGGCCTCGCTGTCTAAGCCTAATCAGTTGATAGTGTGACTTTGCAATGCTCCTTACCAACTTTAGGAGCAAGCAGGCCACAGCCGCCCTATTAGGCTGATCTCTGCACGTAGGCAGACTATCGTTGAGAAGATCGTTGACATCAGAGTTTGCAGAATGTTTACTTCGTGTGGTTATTGGCCTTTTGTTGTGTAGCCTGGTCCTTAGACGGTGTAGCTTCGCTACAATCGCATAAGAGTGAGCATGCCGTAGCTGCACAATTAGGCTGGTGTCAGGAGTCGAGAGAGAGTTATTGTGGAGAAGAGTGTTGACATCAACATTCGCAGAGCATTTGTTTCTTGCTGCTATTGGCCTTTCCATCTGCCTAGTCAGATGATAGTGTAGATTTGCAAAACTCCTTACCAAGCGGAAGTGTGAGCTGGGCAACGCTCACGTAAGAGTGAACACCCTGTAGCAGCACAATTAGGCTGGTCTCAGCAGTCGAGAGAGAGTTATTGTGGAGAAGAGTGTTGACATCAACATTCACAGAGCATTTGTTTCTTGCTGCTATTGGCCTTTCCATCTCCCTAGTCAGATAGTGTAGATTTGCAAAACTTCTTACCAAGCAGAAGTGCGAGCTGGGCAACGCTCAGGTAAGAGTGAGCACCCTGTAGCTGCACAATTAGGCTGGTTTCAGCAGTGGAGAGAGAGTTATTTTTTTGAGAAGAGTGTTGACATCAACATTCGCAGAGCATTTGTTTCTTGCTGCTATTGGCCTTTCCATCTGCCTAGTCAGATGATAGTGTGGATTTGCAAAATTCCTTACCAAGCGGCAGTGTGAGCTGGGCAACGCTCACGTAAGAGTGAACACCCCGTAGCTGCACAATTAGGCTGGTCTCAGCAGTCGAGAGATTATTGTTGAGAAGAGTGTTGACATCAACACTCGCAGAGCATTTGTTTCTTGCTGCTATCAGGCAGATGATAGTGTAGATTTGGAACACTCCTTACCAAGCGGAAGGGTGAGCTGGGCCATAGCCGTACAGTTAGGCTGGTCTCTGCAATCAAGCACGTTATCGTTGAGAAGAGTTTTGGCGCCGACATTTTCAGAATGTTTGTTTCTCGCTCTGAATTTTTGGCTTTTGCTGTCTGAGCCTAATCACTTGATAGTGTATCTTGACAACGCTCCTTACCGTGTAAGAGCTAGCAGGCCGTAGCCATACACGCAGGCTGGTCTCTGCAATCAAGCTCGTTATCGTTGCGAAGAGTGTTGACATTCACTGCTGCTGGTAACGATGTCACTGTGAGCAACCACCCCTTACTAGATCTCCAAGCATTGGTTGTCGTCCAACTTCAAGTTTTTGTTGTTCATCTATAACAAATTGCCTCCTTGCATTAGTAGCTTACTCTCTGTCTATCACCTTCAATAACACCAGCTTTGGCATTCGCTACTTGCCCTGTCAAGTTGTCCATTTCGTGAATTGTCGTTGATTCGGCAACCACCTTTGTCAGATTCATCACAGGCCAACTGGGGCTTCATTTGAGTCGTCATTCTATCTCTGTAGACTATTATACCCAACTTTGCCGAGTCCATTTCCTTATCGACCTATCAATGTCAGCGGACGTGCCCCCCGGCTTTGCAGATCCCTGTCATCTTTGCCTTCTTCACAAACTGGTTCTCGAGTGCTTGGCGTGGTCTTCAGGGTTTGCACCATATTTTTTGGCCAACCTTATTGTGCTGAACGGCCTGAGCCTGTATAGATTTGGTCACACTAGGACGCGCCTGGCCGGCCTTTTCTGCTGGTCCTGTGAATCCACAGGACTTGGTGACACTAGAACGTGCCTCGTAAGACCTCTGAGAGACATGGCCATTGAGGTCAGTAGATCAAGACCTAGGAGAGACATGGCCATGGAGGTCAGTAGATCGAAATGTCTGACAGAGGCGTCCATTGAGGTCAGTAGATCGAGAGTCAGTAGATCGAGGGTGGAGCTGTGATGAGCAGAGGGGTTGTGGCTGCCCATGCTTCATTCCTGTCATCATGGTCCAAGTGCATCAGGGATCACTGGCAGAGCTGCGACGAGCAGAGAGGTGGTTGCAGTCCCAGCATTGTCCTCCAAGGATGCTCCATTCTTCCATTGCAGTCTACGTTGATGCTGGTCATACCACTCCGTTTTGGCTGAGGTACCTTTTTTCATCCCACTGGCATCTGCCACTTTTGCACCTCTTCTCCACTACTCCTATTCGCTAGGAATTCCAGCAAGGATCTCACTATTAACATTGCTGAGATTGTTGGGCATCACTAGTTAATAAATGCTTGTGATGCTTTCTCAGCCTGCGAGTGAACTCTCTGATCTTGTCGAGTATCAGTTCCAAGGTCATCCCATTAGCTTTATAACCTGGGAGTGGGAGTTTTAAGTACCCGTACTGCTTACCCATCTGTAGCCCAGAGCTCTTCCAGCCACCCCTTATTTTGTCCTCTTCTCAGGTCAAGGATAGAGGATCATTGGCACAATATCTGCATGGAGGTGACATCCCGGCTTGACAGCAGCACATCGGTGGTGCACCATTGCACGAGCTCTACACCCATCAACGATGCACCGTTACTCGAGCTTTACACACATCAGCGGTGTAACATCTATCGCACAGGACACAGCAACAGTGTGCCATCGCACAAGACGGAGATCAACGCCATGACAGCACACAGGCCACACAGCAACTGGGTACTCAACACAGACGGCATGTCTTTTGCATTGTGAATACTTCCATTTGATTCATTTCAGCCAGCACCCTGATGCACCTTTTTTAGACGCTGTCACCTCAGTTATTGGTATATAAAGGCTCCTCTATCGTGTCAAGGTGGAATACACATTAATGATTAATCATGGGTAAATGTCTGATGTTTTGTGTTCAGGAGGACGGCATTGTATAGGATGGTCTGGCCAACACAGAATGTGGGCATACTCTTTTGTTTGAGGACTCACAAGGACTTAGATTAGTACGACTCCGTGGTGGTTCTCTCAAGAGATTTGTGTTGACAGTAGCTGCTGCTGCTGTTGTGTCTTTCATGGAGAAGCAGCATTTTTGCACATCCTTGTTTTCTGAGGTTTAAAGCTCTTGTACAGATCTCATTTTGCGGTTTGTTTTTTTCTTACTGAGGGTGGTTGGTAGTGTTTCTTTTTTTTTTTGAACCACCTTTTGTTAAGTTCTTTTTGCCTAGTATGGTTGGCCGGTAGGTGCAACTCTGCCACCACCTGCCTGCAAATGGTACCTATATTTCGAGGCCATTCTGGGAAGAGAATAGGCAAATGATATGTGCTAGGTACCTTACAGCATACCTCCCAGGTGAAAGCTCGCTCCTTGAGCTTTCTCTGGACTCTCCGCACTTTATCTGCCGGTTCGCCCTGGTGGGATCTCGAGCAGGTATGCAGGTGTTGTAGACATCAGCTTGGCTCCGTCGTCAATTCCTTCCATGTTCGCGAAAAGGAGTGTGGAGGCTCGACAGTTTTTCAAATACAGCCCGGCCGGACAGATAATTGGTCGTTCAGGAACTTGCGTTACATATGTGATGTCTGTGATTGTCAGGAATTGTTTTGTGTGTCGAATAAATATATCTCTGGCTCATTTGGAGGTCAAGGAAACAACTCAGTTTTTCAATTTTTCCCTGTCTGGCTGCCGACAGGGATTTTGACGAGGCGTCCCCAAAAAAAAATAAAAAAATTGGCCTCGTCCGGTCCTGTCCAGGGGGAGGGTAGTGCACGCGGCAAAGCGGACTGGACCGGGCACTCGTCCGGTCCGTCTGCTTGCAAGTAGGGTAGGATTTGAACTTGTGATCTCATGTTTCTTTTGATATGCATCGTTACCTCCCTGAGTGTTTCAGAAAGTGCAAGGCCAATCCTCAGGGCCTACCGTCTTCACCTGAATAGAACGCCTGGTCATTATAGCCGTATTTGGTCCAATTTGCGGTCCAGGTACGGCTATAATGATCAGGCGTTCTATTTGGGTGAAGACGGTAGTTGCTCAATTCGCCATCCGCCAAGTCTGGCCAGCAGGGGCATGGTTGCATATCCTTGCCAAACTTGACAGCGAGAGAACCTGTCAGAATGCTCGCCACGATTATTACCCCACAAGTTGTGGCGAGCGTTTTAGGTTTCCCCGCCTGTCACACCGCGTATGCGGAGGGTGGTCCAGAGGAGCCCCCGCACCCCTCCACAAAATGACCTTTTCGAGAGTATCCTAGCTTCATGGCTGAAGATCTCGCGGACAACCTTTTGCTAGTTTTCTGCCGAACATAAGCTGCGGTGAGCAAGTGCAACTAACGACTCTGACTCGCCACAATTTCCTGCTTCTTCACTTGCCAAGTTGCCACCCTTCCGCCATGAATTGCGGCGGATGGCGAGTAGTGCAACTAGACCCTCAATGGCGGTTGAAGAATATGTGTATGGTGCAGACATTGAAGATTTTGCAGATATTGAAGGGTTTTGCAATACTCACAGTCATTGATGAGCTTAGTGCTTGCAATATCTGGAGACATTGAGAGGTGACAATTTTTTTTTAATATACAAATTGGAGGAATGACGCTGTCGGCAGATTTTACACCGAGGTGTCTTACAGGTAGTGAGTTGCTGAACTTACAGTTCTGCAGAGTCCGTCAGGTTTGCTCAAGGTTTGTCTTTCGGTGGTCCCGTAGGATTGTCGACGGGTGGAAATGTGACAGCTCTATACTAGCAACTGTGGAAAACCTAGGTGCGGTGCACAAAATAAATAAATATAGATTAAAGTTCATTAAACGTCATTAAAGAAAAGAATGCAAGGAATATAAGCGAGAGTGATGAACAGAAACACAAGTTGCAAAATTACGAAGTAGTCCAGATAGTCATGTACGAAGCAGAAAGCACAATGCACCAAGATTCCATCCACATAAGAGCAGTACAAATAACTCAAGTGCCAATGCCGACACTCCTGGTCACGTAAACACTATTTAATGTCGCTCCTACTGTCTGGCGCTCATCGCCCAGCCTACTCTACTCAGCATATCTAACCTATCTACGTTCAAGCGACTGGATCACACTCGAGTCGAAGACCAATGTACGTGATGTCAATGCAAGGAACCTGACTGTTCATCACTTGCTGGAGTGCATCAGATCACATGCATATTCACATATTTCACAGATTGCAATGTCTCGCAGAAAGCCCAATAGAAAATGAACGAGAACCAGGAAGCTCATCTCAATTATCATAACCAGATTAAGAAAGGCATTTTGTGAGTCCAAAATGTATACCGCTGAACAGAGTTACAAGTTTTCTTCGATCAACATGAGTTCCAAGCCTGGCGCTCATCAGCGCCAGCTGCCAAACGTCAACAACAATGCTCAACAGGTAAGTGTCACCATAGCTCACACCTCCCCCTCTCGTCTGCCTTCTTCTCTCTCTCCCTCTATGTCTATTGTCCTGGTCTACTCCCACTCATCATGCATGCACACTCCCTATCACACGAGGATCTACTTTGAATACTACTCACCGAACTCTTCTACTAACTATCCCTACCAATGTACTAACTGGCGCTGGTGCAGCTATGGCTGCCTTCCTTCCAGTCGGCGCCCCTCTCTTTTTCCTCACACGTAGCGTTGTTCTCAGTTTAGTGCGGCTCACACACATCTGGTGCACAAGTGCCACGGCACTTCCACACTCTCATGCGAGATGAGCATCTGCCAAACGGGTGGCTGGCCAGCCCTTCATAGTGCTGGACTGGTTTGGCGTGGCCTGTGTTCAGCCTCAAGTGTGCCTGGGACTCCTGCCCAGTATCTTCTGTTGCGAAGTGTGTGTCCCAGTATCTTTTCCCATGGTCTGCTGCTGCTTTGGGCCATCGGGCCTGTCTTTTGGACTCCTGGTCTGAATCAGGACTGACTCGTGGGATTATGACTGGACTGGGACTGTGGCCTTTGATTCATTGCCGAACAGACGTGACTTATTCGTCGAGGAGACATGACCCTAACTCAGTCTTGAAAACTGTGTTGGACCTGTTTGTGACCTTTCAAAACAACTTTTCATCTCATTCTGGATGCGAAATATGCCTCAGGGAACTTGTCATTTTGGTTGCTGCTCGTGAATTTAAGTTCTGGACAACAGGACCCCTTGCTGTTGGGGCATTCATTTGGGGTCTAGTTCGTAAAGGCCTTTTTACTCTCGCCAGCCTAATTTCGAAGTCCTTTGAGAAAGTTCGTACCTGTCCACAATATTGACACCTCTTCTTGCTCTTTCATAATAAGACACTATGTTCAGTGCAGTTTCAATTAACTCTTCCCTACTAAACCAGCGGTCTTCACTTGGATCTTGACAGGCAAATTTGACTTTATATTGCCGCTGAGGTCTAACTCTGCGTCCAGTCTAGATAGTACTTTCAGCAACAATCCTATCAACATCAAATTTCTCATCCATACTTGGAGGAATTGTTGGCCTTCGACTGGGAAACAGTTCATTAGTTACACAAGGTAAGAGCTTTGACGCGTGAAACACGGGATAGGTATGCAAGTGTGGAGGTATCTCAATAACGTAGGAGGGTCCATCTACATCCCCTATCACATCCAATACTTGCCACGATCCTCTGCTGGCAGACAACAATTTTTTAGATATGTTTTCCTTCAGATAAATTCCTTCGATTTTACCCAAACCAGATCACCTACAGCAAACTGAGAAGGTCTTCTGTGCTTATTGGCATGTTCAATCATTTGATGTTGCGCTTTGATTATGTTCTTTGATTATGTTCTCCTTTACCCTTTTTAAATCTTTTTGATACTGCATTGTGAACTCTCTGGTCCCTGGCGGAAGTTTATGTGCTCTATCCGGGTTTAGACAGTCTATAGGTCTGCGAGGACTCCATCCCAAGTGTAACTTCATCGGAGTTCTGCAAGTAGAGAAGTGCACAGAGTTATTATAGGCACTAGCAACTTTGGGAAAATGTTCATCCAGTCAATCTGATCGGGACAAATATACATACGTAGTGCAAAATTTTGTTCATTTGCTCAATCTGCCCATTTGCCTCAGGGTGTCGGCGTGACGACATTGTCAGCTTAGAGCCATAGACACTCATTAGTTGCTGCCAATGTTCACTAGTGAATCGGGAGTCTCTGTCACAAACGATAGTCAAGGGATGACCGTAGTCCTTTCCCAAAGGTTAAAAAAAATTTGAATTACTAAGTCAGTTTTAGCTTTTGCAGGCAATGCTACAAAAACAACAAATTTGTTGATT